ATTATATTATATATAAATTAAAATAAAGTATTAAAAAGTATATTTTTCTTGTATTTTATTGAAGGAAATGGAGCAGCAAACAAGCGGAATTCTTCAAAATCAAACAAGAATAAGTCGCGAAATAAAAAGGAAGCTGCAGTTATTCTTGAAGGTCCTGTTTGTGAAGTTGTAGATAATGCAAATCTTGACACAACTAAATCTGATGAATCTGTAAAACGTCAGCGGTCTTCAAATACGAATCGAAGACAACAAGCAAAAAATAAAGCTGCAAATCAGCAAGTTGTTGCTACAGTAAAAGAAAATGGCAGTGAAACTGAAATTCAACAGCAACAGCAACAGCAGCAATTGCAACAGCAACAGCAACCAAGAAAGGTGGTTAATGCTGAAAAGGATAAGAAAATACGAGTTGTTGCTAAAAAGTTATCTGACATTAAGAAACTTAAAGCTCGTCAAGAGCAAGGTGAAACCCTCGAAATAAATCAACTGAACAAAATATCTATGGAAGGTAAATTGCTTGAGGAATTGAAGTCTTTGAAGTTATCTGCTTAGATTTACTTACAAGGACCTGTGGGAGCAATTCTGTCATTTGGCATGATTAACGCTCAATTAAATTTGTAGTGTTTATGTGGTTTGGCGTCCAGCGTTTTCCATTGTTTTAAAAATTCAAAATTATCATTGGTAAATTTTCGTTTGAGTTTTGATATATATTTTGTATGTTAAATTAATTTTTTTTTACTTATAAATTTGTAACAAAATTAAACTATTGTGATTTGTGAACCATCAGGAATAAGCCACTAAAGAATTAATAAAAGTAAATTATTTAATTATAACAATGAACGTTTTATTAAAACAATATACATATTATTTTTCCCAATTAGAGACTTTCTTTGTGAATGTTTCCTTACCATCATCTTGAACCGCAGCGTAATAGCCGAGATCTTCATATTTAGATCGCATATATGTAATATAACCAAGAACACCAGCAAAACAGGCAATACCCACACCCATAATTATTTTATTCTAAAAAAATATTGAATGCGTGACGTTGCATTATAGATAGATTCTGTTCCAAACAAATACTTACAGGTTTAGCGTATAATTCAAAATTTAATAGGCGAAAAACACTTGTGGTACGAACAGCTCTAATTCCTTTTACAAAGATATAAACAAACTACTTTTACAAAACACATTCGAAAATTTATACAAAAATAAAAAGAACTATGTTATACCATCTCCGGGTGTTGACATATTAGTCTTAACATTATCTGGCTTTTCCATTATTCAATAAATAAGTGCGCTTCGGTTATATATTAATTTCTATAAACTTGATATAACTATTTGCTTCGCAATCACCCTGCGACCGCATAAATGGGTTGTGTGGTGTGACATAATTATGTTTACCGAAATGTATTAAGTGTGCATATTTTGAAAAATTTAAATTACCTGCAATATTACCTTTTTTTGTATTTACCAGCAGAAAAAATTATTATTATATTATTATACCCCGACTAAATTGAGGTAAAGTAAATTGAAATTTCCTAGGGATTTTTTGCACTGCACTTATGTAAATATTTATTTATTTATTTATATAAAGAGGTTTTCGAACAGAAGTGAAACAACAACAAAAATTTATTTTTTAAATTATTTTAATTAATTGAATTTTTGGCTGACCATACAGCTGTTTCGAGTATTGCCAATTACCCTTCATCAGTGGTCTTGGAAATAATTCTTATATTTAATTATTCGTAAATAATTATTTTTGAGACTGCAAGTACCAGGATCGAACACCGGGTCTGCCAAATAAAAGTAAATCAAACGCCCGTAACCAACTGATCAAACAACTGAGTTTGTGAACTTTTGTTATGAAGTTTTTAAAACAATTTATTTATTTATTGCACTTATTTATTATTTTTGATTAAAAGTTTTCAAATTTATTTATTTATTAATTAAACATCTTATATAATTTTCACACCTAATTTACCTAATTTTTATATAATTTACCCTACTCGAAATTCTGGTAAATACCAACATTTGCTGCCATACCGACAGAATTTACTATTTCCCTCAATTTACCATCAATTTACTCGAACTCACACACGGCTTAAAAGTGTTTTTAAGAACAATTTCTTAATAAGGGTAAGCTATAAATGAATCAAGACCATTAAAACTACTTTTAGGATTTAAGCAAAAAATACCAAATTGGTTAATTTGCAATTAATTTGTTATTTGTTTAATCATATTTACACCAAAATGACAAATATAATATTTGATTATATGTTTTCTGTTTACATTATTCTATACATAATGTTGAATAAATCATACGGTTTACTACGGCTCATTACAGCCTTACATTACGGCTTACATTACAACCTTCATGTAAATGAACTCATTATCAATAAATCAGCTTATTTAAGGCGAAAATTATCGAATACAACCCTTAAAAATAAAGTTCTCACAAGGGAAATTTGAAATATGTATCATATACTGAGAAAGTAAATATTTAAAAAAATCTTTGTTGTTGATAATTGATATGTAATATGTAATTGATATATAAAATGTATTTATAGCATTTATATATTTAATTTTTTTATGTGATGTACTATTAAGTGAAGTTTATAAAATTTTATAAAAGTTCGATCAGCTGCTTAAATGAGCTCATTAACATAAATGACAGAAATTGATAATTGGTTTCTGAACTAACTTTTATATTGTTTTGATATGTGAACTTAACTAATAATTTTAATATAGTAATGTACACATAGGATTAATAGTTATTATAAAATTTTATAAAGTACTTTATTACTTTCGTAATAGTACTAACTATTACATAGTTTTAAATTATAAATGTATTACATAGTTTTATTTATAAATGTTCGTATAGTATTATACACATCACAGCTAATTTTATTGTATGATAATTACAAATTTAATTTATTGAAATAGTTTAATATTAAAAACTTACAATTATAAATGCACACCAAATTGTACTAAAACTGCTGTACTAAAACCTACTGCCAATTTTAATACAGAATTTTTGTATAATAAGGCAACTCACTTTAGTACACTTTTGTATATCTACATACCACATTTGAGAACGCATTTGTCGGACATTCGGTATTAGCACGTGTTTTTTTTTGTTAAAACAAACTGATTTGTTAATAGATTAATTTTAATAATGGCGGTTGCAGAGATTGTTGCTGCCGTTGTGCTTAATTATTTACAAAAAAAAGATAAAAATCTTGCGAAAGTTTTTCAGGGGAAAACAAAAGCTGTAAGTATGTTAAAATGTTTGCATGTGGAGTGAAAAAAAACTAACTGGCTCCACTTTATAAATGTATATATTAATCGTATATAAAAGTTGTTAGATACAAAAAATTTATGTATCAATATTAATATAAATTCATCCAATTGTTATTTCATAATTTTAACACACCACGTGGTTACACTTATATTCTAGGGGGTTATTGGAAAAGACTCTCCAACCATAGAAGATATATTTCTGTTTTATCAACAAAATAGTAAAAAGAAAATTCAAGATATTAAAAAATCAAAAAAGAGCTCAAGTGAATCAGATAGCTCAGATGATGAACCTAATATAACTGCTGCTGCATTAACAAATGGTAAACTTGGTAAAAAAGCTGAAAGCAGTGATGATAGTTCTGATGAAGAGGAACCAGCCAAGACAAATGGAAAACCCATCACTGCGAAAACGCTTACAGCTAAGAAAACTGCTTCTAGCTCTGAAGATTCTTCGTCAGAAGATGAGAAACCTGCAGCAAACAAGTCTATACTATCAGCAAATAAAACACCGGCAAATAAAGTACAAGTCAGTAAAGTACCAGTAGTAAAAAAGCAGGAATCATCTGATAGTGACGATAGTAGTGACGATGAGGATGAAAAAAGTAAAGCACCGGTGAAAAACTCAAGTGAAAAACGCACTGCAGCTATTAAGCCAACGGTAACAAAACCAGCTACAGCTAAGAAAGCTGCTTCAAGTTCTTCTGAAGAATCTGACGATGATGACAAACCTAGTAAATCACCTGTCCTGAAAAAAAAGGACAGTTCTGACTCTGAGTCGGATAGCTCGGAAGAGGATGTAAAGAAATTGAAACCTTTGATTCAAAAACCAAATACTACTAGCGAAGAGAGCTCAAGTGAAGAAGAGAAAAAACCTGTAAAGCCTATGGTAAAAAAATCTATTTTAACTCCTTCCGTTAAAAAACCGGACTCAAGTTCTGATGATTCTTCAGATGAAAGTGAAGATACAAGTAAGAAACCTACACAGGCTAATAAACCTGTAGTAGCTACGAAGTCAGGTGTGCAAAAACCAGCAGCCGCGGCTAAACCAAAAAAAGCTGAGTCAAGTTCAGAGGACTCTTCTTCTGATGACGATAAGCCAGCTACTAAGAAACCTGCCGTAGTTAACAAACCAATTCCTTTAGCAAACAAAAAAGCAGAATCTAGTTCTGAGGACTCGTCTTCAGACGACGAACCAACCACTCAAAAAGCTGTAGTAGCAAATAAATCAACTACATCAATTTCAAAAAAATCAAAATCAAGTTCTGATGATTCATCTTCTGAAGATGAACCGGCGACTAAAAAGCCTGTAGCCGTAAGTAAACCAGCTGCTGTAAGTGCAAAAAAAGCAAAATCAAGTTCCGATGATTCATCATCAGATGATAACGAGCCGGCTCCTGCAAAGACAGTAATTGAGAAAAAAGTAATTAATAAAAAACAAGAGTCTAGTTCCGATGATACTTCATCAGAGGACGATGAACCAGCAGCAAAAAAACCTAATATAAAATCACCTGCAGCTGTCACAAAACCAGTTGCTAAAAATAATAAGTCGTCTTCTGATGAAGACAGTTCAGATGATGAAGATACTAATAAGTCTGTAGTGAAGAAAACAACAGCTTCTGTCCCACAAAAGAAAGATGACAGTACATCAGATGATAGCTCATCGGATGATGGCGAACCTACCGCGAAAAAGTTGAAAAAATCAACAGAACCTGTAGTGAAGAAAACAATAGTTAGTGCACCACAAAAGAAAGATGATAGTACATCCGATGACAGTTCATCAGATGATGATGAAACCACAGCGAAAAAGCCACAAAAAGCAAATGAATCTGTTGTGAAGAAAACTGGTGCTCAACAAAAGAAAAACGATAGTACATCTGATGACAGTTCCTCAGATGATGGCGAACCCACAAATAAGAAAGCGAAAAACGCTGAAGAAACACCTAAACCAAAATTAGGACAAAAAAGAAAATTCAGTGAATCTGCAGGTTCTGAAACAAAAACAAATAAATACAATAACTTTGTTAAAAGTGGCGAAGGCAAGGTATGTAGACTCATTAATTCTCATTGAATATGTAAAAATATTTCTACTTTGCAAATTTATTACTAAATCATATAAATAATGTTTCTAATTTAAATTTGAAGCAAAATGGATTTAGCTCCACTCCAATTGATAAAAAGTTAAAAAATAATCACAACCAAAGCTTAAATAATTCGAATGGCAAGTCCCAAAAAAATGCTCCATTTAGACGTGTAAGAGAGGAAGAAGTAGAAATCGATGAACGTGTGAAAGACATGTCATTCGAAGCCAAGGTAAGGGCCTCAAATCAGTCAACCAAATACAATTAATGAATTATGAAGTGTTCACATAATACAAACTGTTCCAACTGTGCTTTTCCAGATTTAAATATTTTTAGAAAAGCAAACATATTAATGGGCTTAAAGATATAATATATAGATGTAGAATATTTGCAAAAAATATTATAATTGAATTTTCAAAATAAATTTTAGTGCATTTCTTTAAAAGAAGTAATTCGATCAGTCAAAATAAGCGAAGATAATTTTATATTCTTAATATAGTTTGGTTTGAGGCCTTGACTTTGATTATAATTATTTTATCAATATAAAGCAGTAATAAATTTACAAAGTTATGTATTTTTAAAAATATGCGATGTTGTATAATAAGATTTTGCAAAATGAAAGTCATAAACAAATATAAAAATATTTAAATAAATTAATTCCTGTAGAGCGAGGATGGTTTCAAGAAGCATGGAGATGGTGATAAAGGATTTAAAAAGTTTGGAGATCGTAAATCATTTGGTGGATTTGAAAAGAAATCATTTGGTGAAGGTCGTGGAGGAGGTGGCCGAGGAGGCGGACGCGGTCGTGGTGGTTTTGGTGATAGTGGCCGTGGTCGTGGTGGTTTTGGAGATAATGGTCGTGGTCGTGGTGGTGGATTTGGTGGAAGGGGTCGTGGTGGATCTTTCGATGGAAATAGGGGAGGCGGTCGTGGTCGCGGTGGTGGTGGCGGACGTGGTTCAGCAAATAATTTCAATAAATCTTTTGGTTCCGCATCATCACAAAACAAAAAAATCACTTTCGATGATTAGGTTAGATACATTTTTATATAAATATGCAGTGCAGTTGTAAAACAGTTTGTTTTAATGTTTACACTTTTTTTATACCAAAATATATAAGTACATATACGTTAATATGTTAAATTTTATAATAATTTTAGAAATCTATATAAATATTTAAAATTCAAATATACTAAATATGCTGTATATATACGAGATGAAAGCATATTTATTGTCTTTTAGACTACATTACTAAGTAATGTATAAATGCATATATGTTTTGGTTTATTTAATATACCTTATATTAGATTACTGATTATAGTTAAATGATCAAAATATTTTTAGAAAAATGCTGCGGGTTCTTGGGGTGATAAAGCTAACAAGGACTTAAAATTTACACGCGGCAGATCATTTAAACATGAAAAAACCAAGAAGAAGCGTGGAAGTTATCGTGGTGGACAGATTGACATGGGTGTCAATTCAATTAAATTTGAATAAATGACGTATAATACAAAAAGAAAAATAGTTATATAGATGAATATATAAACAAAATATAATAAAAATAAGTTGATATTTCAATGTTATAAATTGAAAAAGATTACAAAATACAATATACATTAAGCATACATAACATACAATAATTTATATATAATATATATATAATTTACAAAATAAAAGGAATATCTTAATTTTTGTTCTATTAGTTATTAAGATAATTGTAAATTCAGTACTGTAAAAAATTTCTGCAAACTGCATAACAACTTTTACACTAAAATCTTTCATTTTATTTATTTCAATTAAATTATTTTGACTCAATTTTAAAAACTTAATTGAAAAACTAAAAGGAAAAAGATGTGTCTATGTTGAAAATTATAATAAAAATGTATTTTAGTCTGTTTTATTAAGCATTTAAATGCAAACTAACAATAACAGAGTAAGAAACTAGAATTACTATTTTTGAAATAAATTACAATTTATAAACAAATAAATGGTATTTAATTAGAACACAAAAAAATGTTTTTACTGATATTATAATATTATAGTGAT